TGCAATTCTTGCATAGTCCTGATGCAACCTCCCTTTTGTTACAGTGTTCAGTGCCCTGTGGAGTGGGGCAGAGGACTCGAGATGTGAAGTGTGTTAGCAACCTTGGAGACATCGTTGACGATGAGGAATGTAACGTGAAGCTGCGGCCAAATGATATTGAGAACTGTGACATGGGTCCCTGTGCTAAGAGCTGGTTCCTTACAGAGTGGAGTGACAGGGTAAGTCTTTTCATTATCTTTTTGCTGCAATCTTCTAAAACAATGTAGGTGCATCAGAACTAAAAAAAATATACATCTGTGCAGCCATAAAAGGAGTGACCTTATTTTCCATGTTTATCCTTATCTGTTAAACAGGCAAGAGCAAACAAAAAATAATGATCCTAAGGGCATCTTGAGTTTGTATTAGATACAAGAATGCATTGAAAGGGCAAGTGTGTGGGTACATGGCCAAACATCTGGATTTAGAATTGGCTCTGTGTCTGAACTTCCCAAAATATTGAGTGTGCCGAGATTTATTATTCTGCCTTGCTTAACCTTGAGTCTCAAGATTCAGGCTCTAAGTTTCCCTACTGTTTTTTAAGGGATGGAGGCTTGAGGCCTGGTGTTTGGGTTTAATTTCAAGCCATAAACCAATTATCCTATAGCTGTGAAAAGAGGGGAACAACTTCATAAACTCAGACTTTTGTACTTTGTGAACATGGATGTATTTTATTTTATTCCAGTGAGTGACATTCTCTGCATAAAAGCAGTAAAAGCAGTGGTGATTGACCTTGTTTCATGATTGGGATCAGAGTTGTTCAGTAGTGGTATTTATATGCTTTCATTAGAAGTCTTACAAATATGGGCTAAGGAGAGCCTGGTATTTTGGTCCCTCTTGTGGGTTGAACCCTTCTTGTGAAGTTGAACCTTCAGTCTATAAAATCTCAATTGTATCTCCCTTGACTGGTTGTCAAAGGCAGGCAAAAATCTAATTCATTGTTGAAGCTGTAAGATTACATAGATAAGTTCACAGATTCATTATTTAGATCATTTTGTGGTAGTATCTCTGAAAGGTAGGAATGTCTGGCTCATATGTTATGCATTAGTTTGGACACTCAGAAAATTTTCCACATTTTAGATGCAGAGAAGGAGGAGGAACTTCACAAGTAGGACAGGTAGCTGGTATGTCACATAAATTTGGAAAGGCTGATCAGACTCTTGCTACAAAACTTTCAGCCTCCAGACAACTCAAATAGATTTTATAAAGAGAAAAAACAAATAGTAATAAATCTTTGTTGTTGTCATTTGAACTCATGCTAGGCAAGAGCCTAGCATGGTCAGAAAGTTACCAGGTAAAGGATAGGTTTTAGTTCAAATGGCATAGTT